GAACTTCCGTCTTGGCACGTAGGCATTAAGCAAATGATTGACGGACGATTTATACTCATCATAAGCCTCAGGCTTCAATGGCTTACACAATTCGGTACAATCTGCTGTTGAAGCAAAGAATAAGGGAAGTAACCTTTTGCAATGCTGGCCAAGAAACGGGAGGAAATTATGTGCTGCTTTGCTGGGGCCAATATTGAAGACAGTGAGGAACGTCACACCTGGTGTAAGGAGATCCAATTTTTCCTGTTGTTTCTTAAGAGCTTTTAGCCTCTTCGTTACTTCATAAAAGAGCCACTCCCCATGCTTGTTCTTCTTCAGATCCTCTTTATTCACATCTGCTTCATTTTCAGCGATATCCAATAATTCCATTGGAATATCTCTCAGCTTAAGAGCTTGAAGGAGGCAACAGAGAAAACAGAGGCTGATACTTGAACGCTTGGTGCCCAACAACCACATTAGGTCATTGAAAGGAGACTTGCCCAAAATATTGAAATTAAAAGAAGACAGGCCTTCCTTTGAACACCTTTCCTGCAAGCTGGCATGATATCGCTTTGCTGTTTCTGATTCACAATTTTTAAAACGAACAGCCATCTTTATAAAATCTTGAAATAAATCAGCTTTTCTTTTAGGAGAGAGGCCAGTGAGAGTAGCAACACATATAACCACAGGAACAGAACTGGTCTTCACCAAATCAAGCAAAAAAGGATAATCTAACTTCTGTGGCTTTGGTACAGAAAGACCTATGAAAAATAATATTAATTATATGTAATAAAACTAGTGCAATCATTACTTCTAGGGGTTTCCATGGTTTTCTTTTCAAATTCCATAACTTCTTCTATATCGCTAGTTTGCGATTCGTCATCAAGAGAGTCGGAAGATTTTGAGGAAGATTCCACTTCAGTAGGAGATGTGGGTTTCTCATCGTCGATCAATCTATTCATCGTACAACTAATGTCGGATTTTTCTGAATAATGCTTTGTCAAATACTCCATGCCAGGGACCATGTTTGGGACAGACTTCATCTTTTGTAACTGAATGACAGTACTATGGGATTCATTATGAGCACCACTCTTCTCGGGTTCTGTATAAACACCATATCCATTTTCTTCATTTGGTTGCTCATCCGTAGACTCAACCTACAGAATTATATAATGAATATTGAAGTAAGCTCACGCTTAGCCAAAAGGCTCATAGCCTAAGGTCACGTAGTCTCACCCACGCACATGATCACAGAATCCATACATATAAATTACACGCGACAAACATGTGTCCAATCTATGGTTCAACGTACCCTATCGGGATCCTGTGTAAATTTAGAAGAAGGCCGCTCTTCTAGAGGCTGGGAGCTCTCAACAATAACAGGATCTGTTCTCAAAGAATCAGGACTCGGAGTCGCCATTTTGATTTCAAGTGACACAGTGAGTACAGACACACCCCCACATAACAATTAAAATTCTATTTTTCCATGTAATCATGGTTTAATTTATTATCATGAGTAAATTTTCATAAATACATGTGACAGTGTTAGTGTTACTTAGTATCCCTTTAAATCTAGGGATTTATCATTGGCATTACAGACACTGCACACTGGCACAAGACAATGTTAAAAAATTTGACGCATTTAAAAGATTTATAGCTACTTTTAAACTGAGCTAAGCATCAACAAGCTATATGTAATATACTATTATAATTTTTGTGAAATCTGTTCTATAGCATGCATTAATAATAATATTATTGTAGATTCTCAGTGTCCTTCTTTTTGATCTCTTGTTTTTCCTCAGACAAGGTGAGATGAA